ACCGGCACCCTGCCTCTTGGAAGAGCGGCTCAAACCTGACTGCTGGTTTTTGACAGGAGAGTTCCTCTTGGGGCTGTGCTATTTCTTCTTCACGTGTTGACTGAACTGACAAATATCTTCCCGCACAGTCAATATGTTTTGGGTTTTGTTCTGGGTTGGTTTGTTTTCCTTTCTTCTTCTTTTTTTTTTTTTTTTTTTTTCCTTCTGTAAGTTCTTAGAAGAAAGTATCTGAATGTTCAGCCCTGCCAGTTTTGAGCGCAGGGCCACTTGTTAGTTCCTTATTATGTGTGGGCTAACAAGGAAGGAAATTTGAAAGGGTAAGATGGCAGGAAGGCTGTAGCATCTCGCTGGTGATAAGGCAGCTCAAAAATAGGTTGTGACAACTGAACTAATGATGTCACCTATGCTGATACAAGTGGGCTGCTTCTCATTATGACTTCTCTGCCAGACACAGTGACATTCACCAGCCAATGCGTGCCTTGAGTAGACGATATATAGAACAAATCATAGGAAATGTGACACAGGAGGCATACAATAGAATATTTGCCCAGTTTTTTGTTTTATTTTATTTTACAAGAGCACAGTACTTCTGTAGATGATAAAGGTGTATAGGTCAAGCTTAGCCTTGCTGGACCACTTCATCAAACCGGGGTCATAGGGCTCCTGTTATGACATTTAGAGATAAGCATTTTGGAGGTAAATGAGATGGAGCAGTCTGCGACGAGATCAGAAGGTGCTTGTGTAGCTTCAGACCTCAAGTAAATTACAAATACAGTGTTGGTCGCCTGACCATTGATATGTTCTACGTACTGTACCTAGTGTATTAAGATAGCGATCGATAAATACTGTAGTTTAGTTGTCAGAAAGATGCATTTGTTGCTCAGATTTTTACCATAGATCTATTCTCGGTTTATTTTCCATAAAGTTTTTTTAATGAGAATGAAAAGGGAGTTAAAAATTATTTAGATTCAGATTTCATTGTGTAGCTACTTGATCAAAATATAAACTTATTGTTTATACTCTTGTAAAGGGAAAATGCTATATTAGCTTTCAGCTATCAGATTTGATTCAGATAACGATACAGCATCCTAATTCATAGTCTCTACTTCAGATATTGAGTTTGTCTGTGATAGAGCCTTTTTCAGAAAACTGCTCTACCCTGATAAATCATCCAGAAAGAGAGAGAGAGAACGCTCATGTTTATGTGGCATGAAAAAATAGGCTAATAATGTGATTGTCTAGGAGTACTCATCAATGCATTTGTGTTGATAAATTATCATTTGTTTTAATGTTCTGTTGCACGTACCCATTTTAGCTGTTCTGCTTGATCTCAGTGATTTGCTAGCTGTATGCAAGTGCTGGAGTTGGTTGCTTTTCCTGTTTTGATCACAGCCCAGGCAGTAAAGGCCACTACACTTTAAACAGATAATAAATCATATGGTGTCCTTGCTAACCAACATTACAGATTCCCCCGGGTCTGAACTGAACGTCCTTTCTGTTCAGTTTAGTGCAAAGAAGGTAAAATTCTATTTGATGTTACTGTAATATTTTGAGACAGAGTCTGATGAGGAATTTTTCCAAACTGCCAAAAATAAATCTTACCAGCAGAGTTTTAGCTGGTGGCTCGAGGCATATGTATTCCCGACTTCTGTCTGTTTATTTTCACTTCCCTTTTGTTGTAAGCTGTCTAATGTTTTGATGCTGTTTAGCCAAGGAAGGAATTATAAAAGTGGCCTATAAACTTTTTCCAAGGGGGGGAGGAGGAGTAGAGAGAAAACAGAAAGTGGTGTGAAGTAGGTGTTTATGCCTTCTGTTACAGTGTGTGCCATTTATCCACTTACCTGCATGGCATATTTGGTTGCATTTAAAACACTGCAGCAAATTCCTTGCAGTTACTTTTCTTAGGCTGTTTGTTCTGTGACAATAATGGAAGTGGGATGCTCTGTCTCTGTTGTTCAGCTACAACAGACTTCAAGTTATTGCTAAGATTTCGAATTGTCAAAGTATTTTACCCTGTTAAACCGTGTGCTCTAATGATCATCGTGTCCCAGGATTGCCTCAGATTGATCACGGTGGTATAACCGATTGCTTGCCAGTGGGACTGAATCACTTTGTGTTTCATTCTTCGCTATCATGAAATGTTTTAAAAACAGTTTTGCCAACAACAAAGGCTGCTGTCTAAATCAAGCACCACATGTTTTCCCATTACAGCACCAATTTTGCTTGGTAACGTTTTGACTGCTGGGATGAGTGTTTAGCATCCTGAATTTGCTAAGTGAAGGATGTGTGGGAATCAGATTTTATACTTGAAAGCTTTTCTCCCTTTTTGACAGCTTGACCAACTGTTTTCTTGGCTTTCTGATGCCCCTTCTATTCCTTCCTCCCCCCCACCCCCTGCTTCTCTCCCTTCTCTCTGCTATAAACAACCAATAACAGCATCTCTCATTATTAAAGATGAATATGAAGGCAAAGTCCTGACATGGTTTATATCATGAAATAAAAAGTTTTGCAAACCCTGTCTTTCTAAAGTTAGTGCGTGTCAGACGATGCAGTTCAGTAGCAGGCTCGTGGGTAGAACTCATCGTGCACGGAGAGGAGCAGGGCTTACGTTCTCCTGCCCCCAGAGCTGTGGGTGCTTTGTCATCTGCCGTGTACCCAGGGTGATTTCTGATGCTTACGCCGTGTGCTCAGGCAGTGGGAATAATGCCCTGCTCTTGAGAGCTGTGCAAGTAAGAGACTTGGGGCTGGTCTGGAATTAGATCTCCTGTATTTCTTTCAGTTTTGACATCAGTTGGCTGGCTGGCGCCAAACTAGTCAGTAAATTCAGAGGCAATACCAGGGACAGAAGCCCTAAAACCAATGATTTCCTACCAGCTGAGATTTTTATTTCAAGAAATGTTGCTTTGCTTGGATGCTATGATTTTTTCTGATTTTATAAAGGGTGCCAGTGTCCTGACTGTAAATCTAATGTCTCTGTACTTCCACTGTGCAGTAAAACCTACCGTGCCAGGTTTTGGCCCTGAATGTGGGCATTTATTTTGCGGTTGATGGTTATTGTTACTTTATTCAATGTCATCATCATCAGGTTACAAAGAAAACACGTTTTAAAATGTGCACAGCCCTCTGTTCTCCAGGAGTAGGCAGGAAGTGGGGAAAAGCTGCTCAACCTGCCAGTTTGCTTTGGTAGAGGTGTAGTTTGTAGATGTTCGTGATACAGAGAGACAGTATCTAGCCTTTTTGTGTCCTAAAACAGACAGCAGAAAATAGCAGGAAACATTTAGGTGACTTGACTTGGTCTAAGAACAGGAGCGTTGTTTGGTTTGGTGCCAAAGAGGGAGTTTATAAAGCTGCAACATTATCCTTAACTTGATAGGGATTAGCTGTACGTGTGTTAGTGCAGTAACCATGTAAGAAGTGAAATGTGGCTGATCATTTGTCTTTGATAGCTTCATTTGTGTTTGGCCCCCTAAGCCATTTCTCAGGGAGTGGGAGAACTCCTGATACTCCCAACTCTCTGCATGACTTGTCATTTAAATGACAAAAATCACTTCTCTCAAAAGCCTACTTTTCCTTCAGGAAAATCAGATTAAATCCTGGGCTGAGAGTGTTTTGGTGAGTGGTTTAATGTCCAATATGTTGCATGACTCTAGATGTAAAAGCAAATGCACTTGCAAAGAGAATTTCCTAACTTTTTAAGGTCACCTTCTTTTCCAAAAGGCCCAAGGCTTCAACAGACCCTTTCTGTATAAAGAAAATACTTCAAATACCTCTTTATGGCCTCTTGTGCGAGGTTTGGGGTAGCTAAGGGACTGTGGCCCGTGTGAAGCCAGGAAGCCTTCACGGTTACTTAAGCAGCTTGTGACTTGTCCCAGTTGTGAGCAGTATTCTCAGAGCATCGTAGGACTCTTGGTTGGAGGGGATGTCCAGAGGTTTAACAGATCCCTAAAAATGAGTCTTTAGCACCCACACTAGGTCTGGTCACCAGTGCCTTGGAAATCTCCACAGGTGGGAAATCCACCTTCTTCCTGGGCAGCCCGCATCAGTGCTGCCCCCTTGAATGACACTGCATCGTATTACTGTTTTATACCTCTTACAGACTGATCTCTAGCTGTAAGTGTACTATGAAGTGCTGCCTGTGGCTCATCAGTGGAACACCACAGTGAAAATAGGAGTACAGCTTCTTGGCTGCGCATGAATAATACAGTGTCCTCTGCAAAGTTGCAGGATTTTATTCTTCAGGCATGCACATAATGAGAATTCTGAGAATTTGTAAGTGAATTAGTTCCAAACCAGCTTGAATGTGGAGCCACTGAGAATTTTAAGCAAGATAGATACACCTTTTTTGTCCGAAGATATCTTGGTTGCTAAGTAAAAATATGCTATAAACTTTCAGTCATTCTATGGGCAGTATTCTAATTAATTTTGTAGCACTAAGTGTGTTGTAATTTGGAAGAAGAAATTTTGAGTTATACAGAAATCAGCAAATAATGCTGTCTTCTTCAGTGTGCCTATCTCCAGTTCTCTGATGGGTAAAGTCAGAGCGCTCTTGAGAAAATGGTAGATGAAGACCTTTTACAAAATGGCAACACTCCTACTTGAAATGATGTCTTGAAGTCATCTTCCTTTAGGCCTAGCTTCCATTTGTGGAAATTTCTTTAGTGTAAGTTCAGAAGTGTAGCTGCTGTTTAGGTAGAGGCATTTACTTCTAATCTCATTAGTGTTTCAGATAAATTACGAGATTGAAGGCGTTCAGTGCTTACCCAACATCTCTACAGTTTTGTTAATTAATACTGTTTGCAACAGATACAGGAATATGCCAAGCTGGAAATGCAGACTCTTTCAAAATACATTGTAGGTAGACTTTGTTTTAATCAGAGCTCCCATAAAATGTGATCAGAATTTACATAGCATTTCAGAACTGAAAATAATGCTAGGAGAAACTTGATAATGGCTTCTCCTTTCAAATTTTTCTGACGGCATATCTTGCTTCTGTCTTCTAGGACCTGCGCAAACAGGTAGCTCCATTACTGAAGAGTTTCCAGGGAGAGGTAAGAGCTTATGTTTCTCATGGTGCTTTTGATATTGCCTCACAAGAGTCTGGTGTGCTGGCAGCCTTTCAGTGTGGCCGGGTGGGTACAGAGCCCTTGAGCAGAGAGCACAGCAGGGGTTCAGCCCCTCTGCATTTTGCTGTGTGCAGGATATGTGTGTGATACATTGGATTTGTGCTGGGCAAGCTAAACTGGTCAAATCACTTTGCATTCAGTTTACCTGAGCAGAAGATTACCGTTGCAGTGACTCAGGTGGCACATGATAACTCGCTGTGCCTCACTGACTTGATGGTTTGAACGCTTAATGAATACAGTGTAATGTACATATACAAAAATATGGAGATGCTATGAATAGTTTTCACTGTAAACCTTTTCAGCTGTAAGACACTGTGTTCTAGAGGGCTTGATGGAAAACCCTGAATTGGCAGGTGTTTGTTGGAAAAACAACTGAAAGCGTTAACAGCTCGGTGCTGGCTCTTACTTTGATTTCTCTTCACACCACTCCAGTAAGAAACACATGATTAGAGTGATCACAAGTTTAAAAGCCAACTGTTGTTATTTTGAAGAATTTCTATAGGAAAAGGCAGCTGGGCCAATTACAGAATTTTACATTTTAGCTGTGGACAGCACTGAAGCACTCACTTCACGTGAGTGCTTAGGCCAGATGGGAGCTGTTGTACAGCCTCTAGGAAAACGTCGTGTATGAAGTTTGCAAATTGTATTTCTCCTTGTAAAGATTAGTGCTTGTGTGGGGTGGTAGATTTAGGTTTTAGCTCACATTCTGTTACACGTTGTAGAGCTCTGCTCTTAAAGTTAGCTGTGTTAAAACAGCAACACTTTATACTTTTTCAATCTGTAAGTTGTTGGCTGATTTTATATTGTTGTACTTCCCATCAGAGCACAGAAAAATTCAGGAGCATGTTTCCAGAAGTCTGCATAGGGAATTAAGTGCACAACTCCCGTTATCTGTAATGAGGGTTGCATTTCTGATTACTTGTACATTCCTACTAAAGACATTTCTCAAATAGGAAATAATTCCTCATCTTAAAAGCAGTATGAACGTTTTAATTTTACAACCCAATTTCCCAAGTATTGCTAGAAATAAATAAATAAACAGGAAAACTTTGTCCTTGATATATCTAATAGTAATTTGTGAGAACAAAGAATGACTTGTGTGAATCCATTTGCCAATGGAAATTTACACTTTTAAATTGCTTCGAGTGGATTGCAGTGCTCTCAAAACCTTTTCACTTTAGTTTCGAGCTTGCAGTACACTGACTGAAAAGTGTATGTGTGCTTTCAGCACTGTTCTTTAATGAAGGGAATGTCTGAGGATCAAGTAAGAATCATACATCCAAATTTGGCTACAGTTGAAGGAAGATTCTCCCATTAGATCTTGTCTGTTGGAGACAGCTCACTGTTACTTTGGTATGGCTCATACACACTCCTCTTCTGTAGTTTTGCTTCACTAATGTAAAATTGAAGTTTATGTTGATATGAAGTCAACATCACAAATTACAGGAGTAAAATTTGTTGGTAGAAAATCCCCTCTTACGTAAATGAAGCACGGATACGTTACAGGATTGTGCTGCTGAATCTCTGAGCCAGTGGTTCCAGTCTCTCTAATCTAGACAGGGTTTTAGAAACGTAAAAAACCTGAACTAATCATGATTGACTAAATAAATGCAGAACATTAAACTGTGAATTGTGGTATTTGATTATAGATGTAATTACTGTATCTTGTTTTGGAGACAAATCAAAATACCAAGAATATTAGCCTGTTCTGTTGAGTTATATTTTATTGTTCAGTATATAGATTTGGTCTCTGTTTGTTGTTAAGACTGACTTTCTGAAGGATCATGAGGTGAATGCTCCAGCTCTCTCACAAAAAAATTGTGTTACGCACATGGGCTTTTCTCCATTTCAAATCCACTGGAGATGCCTCGACTTACTCTGCCCCGAGATGATTCAGCAAGGAGTATTGCTGGGGGCAGGACGCCCACCCCACGAGCTTGTAGGATTCCTTTGCAGTAGCATGAGTGTTACCTGTTAGGTGATATTTAAGGTTCTTTGGGGAGGTGGCAGAGGGACCTTTTGGTCACCCAGTACATGTAGTTTGGGATGTGAGCAGCGGGGAGGAAGGAGGAATGGGGAGTGATATGCTCATAAGAGGTTCCCTGCTTCCACTACATCGACTTCAGTTTTCAGCCCCAGACTAGGATTTTGTTTTTTTAAAAAACCAGCAGGAGTAAGTAAATAGAACAGAGGTAAGTGGAGAAGTAGTGAAAATAGATGTTTTCCAGAGACCCTTCTGCTGGAGAGCGAGTGTCCTCGAGCAGCAGGTACGCAATGCTGTAGGAGTGCTCTGGCTCGCAGCTCTGTAGGCACTGTGGATGGGTTACCAAACGTGGGAACACCACCTTCTTCTCACTGGTTGCTCATATGGAACCTGGGAAAATGTTCTTGCATGATGCAGCTTCTCCGTTTACCATGTGGAAGAGTCTCCACCACATTTTTGCCTCTGACTCCTGTCTCCACCCTTACTGCTGTTGCCCCATCCTTTTCTTGATCTCTAGTGACAGAACTAGGTAGGTGCTTTTTGCCTGTCCCGGTAATACTAAATTAGGATTCCACCTCGGAAGGGAAGGAGCCTTTTGCAAATCCCATGTGGGCTGACTGTGTTCCTCGGGGCTCTGGGCACTAGGGAGGGCCAGAAGATCAGAAGGGACAGACAGCTTCCCTCTGAGCAAAGGTATTTAAGTGGCTTTTCACAGATATTGCTGTGTTTCTGCCTACTAAGGACTGAGTCCCCACCTCCTGCCATGCCTCAGCACTTACGCTAGTGTGATCCCACCCTGAGCACAGGGGTTTCTCTTTATCCCCTGTTTTTCTGGCTTAGTTTTCTGGCAGGTTGGCTGGCTGAAGCAGCTCCCTGCAGGGGAGAGGCCAGGAGAGCGAAGCCAGGGGCAGGAGGAGCGCGCACGTGCCAGCTTCGGCTGACTTCAGCTGTCCTTGAACTGTCCCCTCGGTGAGCCTGCCGTCACTTGGAGAGACGGAGGCTGCAGCTCGCGTGTTTCAATATCCTCCCAAGCATGCTTTATGGGACATCTGCTTGTAAACCTGAACCTGTGGCTAGTTGACTTTTTTAAAAAAATCCACATGTCACATTAGCCAATTTTTCTTTTAAGTTTGAGCATGGATATTGATGCTTCTTCCCCCCCCCGCCCCTCCTTTTCCCTTTGTATAACACACATTTATAAATAACCCCCCTCAACCAGCACATTCTATATTCTGTAGATATTTATTCATTCAGATGAAAACTGTTCCAGTTACCAAATATGCAGTTTCCAGTAGTAGTTGGAAATAACTTTTTCTGTATACATCTCGGTGCTTTAAGTAACTGGACTCTTTATGATGACAGTTAAAGTAAAAGCATTATGAAATGGAATTTAGCATACTACAAATTTTAGAAAGCATTCCTAGTTCAATGTGATACCCTATTAATACATCACTATAATTTTATTATAGTACTTTTTCCTTGTTTAGGATTTTAATGGAAATTTGCATCCAGAATTTTTTAAATTAACAGAATGTTGTGTCCGGTTCAAAGCTGATGGTATTGTTCTTTTGATTTCTGAGGATAAGTTTTCTAGCTTTCCTGGAAGATTTAAGGTCTGGATGGTGTAAATAGGCTATTGCAAGCGAGACGGTTAGAAGTCATTAATTTAAGAGGTGTAGAATTCCTGTGATTTCTACATTAAATCTCCCTTTTTTATTTTCTTTGCTTTTTTTTTTCCTCTTGCCATTAACCTGGGGATGCAACTTATTAATGGTTTGCCCACCATATGCTGGGCTAAATACAGGACAGAATCAGAAAAGGCTGAAGAGCTTTATCATTCAGTCATTCAATCATAAAATGATTATATATCATTTGTAATTTGGCAAGGCACTCTTTCAAGCAACCATCTGAATAAGCTGTGTTCCGAGTAGGTCATTGTACATTACCATGTTTACATCAGTGGATGGATATTTGTACCTGAAATCTTAACCAAAAAAAAAAAAAAAATCTTACGGTCTTTGGGCTATGTTAATTTACAGAACTTAAAGCTGTGGTATGGAAATCTAATGTTGGAATTCGTATTTGTGAAGTCATCAAATAGATATTTTAAGGCTGGGAAAGGATTTCCTGAGGTCATTAGCATTCTTTTCATGTGGCATAACAGTACTGTCCAACAGTAATGCAGTAATCCCTCATTTGGAGAACCCTTTAAGGCACATACTCCAAAACAACGCACTGGACTTTATTCCTGTGAAAACCGTTTCTCATATTCTTCTCACAAAGCAAGTACTTTTAAGGGTATTGCCATTCTGATGAGACCACTCTGGCTCCCCACTTAGCTGAATTGCTCTTTAAACTATTAATTTGGACAGTAGAGTAATTTAATAATTTTCCATATGCAGACAACAGAAGCTGAAAATCAGTTTGGTGTGCTGGAACTACTAATCATGCCTTTGAAGGAGTACTCTAATAATATGTGTGCCTAAACAACTTCAGACCTACTTTACTTCTACATTTTACAGGAGTATTCCTGAGCTGATTTTTTTTTTTCTTTAACCCCTTTAATTTCCTTATGTTAAATTTACAAACCTAATTAATACAATTTCTTTCCTGTAGGTTCACTTCATGATGGCTCAATTAGAGTAGCAGTAGAACTGTGGTTCAATATTCAGGCCAGCTTCATAATTGAAAACACATTTTCTTCTCAAAAGCTGCAGCTGGTTTGGTTCTGCTCATGCAGAAAAGGATATAACCTTGCATAACATAGGAAATGAACGGTTGAGAGAGAAGCCAAATTCAATTTCAGTCAGATATTTTGAGGATAAGTCCATGATCTATGGAAGCAAGGGAATGAAAAGTGTGTGTATGTGGAAAGCAGCGTATTCAGCACTCTATTAATCACGGCTAGCCTGGGTGCTGTTGTGTGCTGTTGCGTTAGCAC